GTCTCGCTCAGACACGCTATTTATTTCAATTTAACCAGCGCTGACAAAAGGTGGTGAATCGATTGTACAGACACATCCTTGACTGATTCAGAAATCTCTGACAATCGCTCGTAAATAATTCAAAATCCTACAAGTATCGCCACAAAACAATGATCTGAAATATTATAAACCTGGGCCGGACCCAGCGTGAAATACATATTTACAGCAGTAAATTGATCATAGTCAAGATGACATTTCAGCTACGACGCTTCGACTCATCGTATAGAAAAAAACCACGGAACTTAAAATCTTGAAAAGAACATACATTTAAAGAACTGTCTGAACCAAGAAGCAACAACGCATTGGAAATCAATTACCACATGTCCCAGCTTTCAAAGATAAAGGATACTAAAAAATATCTTAAGCGGCACCCGACAAACTATCAAAGAGGTCTCCAAAAAAACTTTCCTGCGAGGAACGAGAAAGGAACAGAAGCAAAAAACGGCATGATGCGTCTACTGTCATTAGGACATGATCGTTCCGAATATGACCAAACACCAAGGTGTGATAAATCATTGACTCCGTGGGCAAATAGATGAAAAATTTCCCTTAATCTTTTCTTCAATATGAATCCTCTTGGTGCTTATTTCATCAATGAGTCCCACGATCCGTAAACGCGTCGTCCTGAGGAAAAAAATACGTCTGTGGTTCCCAGGCTAGAGAAAGGGCGGCTGTACACAGGCTCAGTATAGCCTGCGAGAGCATCCGGTTTTTTCGGCTCTAGTTTGTTGGTTCCACATAAGAATACACAATAGACAGAGCCCGAAATACGCGAAAGAGCGAAATTGAGAGGTGTAACGTGCTCAAACATTCTCTTGTTAAAAGGTGATCTGGATTCCGGATTCCAGATTCCAGATTACCTTACATGGGTGGGGTGGGGGGGGGGGGGGGGGACAAAGAAAAGGGGGGGGGGGGAAAACCTGGAAAAATTTTTTTTTTTTTTTATTTTTTCCCCCTACTGAGTCCTTGTGAAAGCTCCATATAAAAAAAAAAAGGAAAGGTGTTCTACATCAAAAACAAAACAAATTTTTAGTCACAAAGGGGTTCGGGATGGAGGCGCGCTCGACTGCAGTATGACGCACAAAAAGAACAAGCAGGGGGAGGGAGAGAATGGGGTAAGGTGGAGGATGGGGTTGGGGTGTTGGCAAAGATAGCTTTTTGAATGTGGGGTGGGAGGGGGGGGGGTAGTGGTGGGGGTGCCCGAGGAAGGGGGGGGGGGGGGGAGGGGGGGGGGGACTAAGAAGCAAGGAAGGGCGGTAAAACCTGTCAAAATTTTTTAATTTTTTTAATTTCTCCGCCTGCAGAGTCCTTGTGAAAGCTCTCCATGTAAAAATAACGGAAGATGTGTGTCACTATACAAGAAAAACAGTTATGTGTGCCTCTGCCGTGATGGGTTCTTTGGAATTTACTGTGAACAAGGTAAATAATTACGACAAAACACATTTAAGCTGCCTCAGTAATTCGTTAGACTAAAACCAGAGATGCAGAGATCTCTTAGTCACTCAGTATTCAGTCATCCCTTGTTTATAGGCGAAGTTACTCAATTTCAATTCCATACGAAACGTTCGACGGTCGATTATATGGGTTGGTACATAGTTGATACAACGCCTTTAATAAAACATTCAGTATAGTTATACCTTTATATTAAGCCGTCATGTATGCATTTTCTTCTGAAGAGGTCATAAGGATCAATTAAGGGGCATCTGGCCTCTTTCACTTTCTCTTTTCTGGCCCGGTGTCCCGGATATTATAGTTTATCCTACCACAAACGACACCTTGTTACAAACGGAGACGTATATATTATTGGGTTCCTTAGTCTTTTATATACTATTACCCGCAGAAATGCTTCAACGGTAAAGTGTTTATTTTTTTGGCATTAAAACGCAAAGGGCGGCTATTCGCAGCAACTCACTTTAATACTATGCACTGGGGAGTAAAATAAGCTACAAAACGCATTTATAACATTGCCAGTGGATTGGTAGCTTAATTCTGTTTTTAAAATAAATACAGACTATGTATATAGATGTTTGAAGTATGAGTTCAGTTAAATTTTTTCATATCTATAGTCATCAATGACTGCTCAGACGCCCCCCAAACATCTGGAGTATACATTATTCTGAATCGTGGTTTAGAAGCATTTCCTGTATACTGCGACCAGACAAACGATGATGGAGGTATGCTGTAACAAACGTGGTACTGGTTAAGCTTATATCTCATCTGATAACTGTTAAGTTAAGATATACACTAGTATGAGAATGAAAAAAGTATAAAGCATGTTCCTTCCTTTTTACGAACACTTAAATCACTACTCAGTTACATTTTACCACATAGTCTATTGTAAATGATTGCTTTAAGATTACTCTAAACAACGTTTTTAACTTGAGTCCTTATGTATTGGAGGCAACGTTTCTTTGTTGTTACAAGCCTCAGCCACAAGTTGCTCGGCAACTTTTTGGCAACTTTTGCTATTTTGATTTAGGGTCTGTTCAAAACGCGTAACGCTGAATATACTTTTTTCCTAGAATAACAAGAGAAACACATTGTTATAAGGAAAACTTAAATTGTTCAGTTTGCCTCTGTGTAAAAAGGTATAGTGCTCTGATTCTGTAAGGAAAAAATTTATTTTACACAGTTGCTGTACATTGAAACGTCACCCACCGTTAGTTTCATCATTAATAATATTTCATTGTGGCTGTCATTTTCATTATACTTAAGAGCGGCTCCGCGTAAATATCAACTAGACGTGGAAATAGTCAAAAAATGACCTGGCCTCAAACTCAGCCAGAATAAAGCCCTATGGGCCCTAGTTACAAAATCGTTGGTTTAAGTACGATCGAGTGAATAATATTTTTTTAACGAATTTTTTTCTTCCACAGGCCTAAAATGGGCAAAAATCATGCGAAATTAGAGTCATATTCAGTGGCTCGTATATTTTAAAATAAAGTTGGCTACTAAAATATAATGACACTTCTTATTTTTACCATCTTTCCTCTATAATTTGAACTGATTAGTTCGCGATTTGGTCAACAAGAGATTTTTTAACAAATTTTTAAAGTTGTTGACTCAAAATCGCTTAATCAACCGTCAAAATTTAGCACTTTTTCACGAGCTAAAAAAAGCGGATTGGTACATGGATTTGAACACCAAGGCTTGTTTAGTCTGAAAGAATATTCTTTTTTCTTCAAATCAGCGAAATAAAATTTTTGGGTAAATGAAATCACGAGCGCTGACAAAGCAAATGTAATTGTTACACTAAAAACAGGCGAAAAACGTGACCTCTGACCGAAGCACAACCAAATGCGAATTACGGTAGGCGCCAAACCTTTAATTATTCGGTAACTTCTCGAAACAATATTGGTCCGAAATGCGTATAGATTTTTTGAAATAAAGCTGAGTTAAAGTATTAAGTGTCAAAAAGTCCACAAAGCGGTAAAAAATACAACAAAAGTCACAAGTAATCTGTTCCGTTTTCTGAATATGCAGCGATTTAACGAATTAACAATTTTTAATCCAACGATATCCACCTGAGACTGTGTTAGTTTAAGAGTCCATAGAACTTCTCAGAAGTATCCTCGGAAAGACCTCCAGAAGGAAATGAATGAAGAATTTGAACTTATAACTATGAGGGGTGATCTCCGCCAATATTCTGTTTCAAATTCCATTATGACGAACCTGCAATTTCCGGTTCCATCATCAGAACCGAAATTAGACCAACAGAACAGAAATTGAGAAGTCGGAACCGAAATTGAACCAACAGAACCGAAATTGAACTAACAGAACCGAAATTAACGAGTCAGAACCGAAATTGAACTAACAGAACAGAGATTACCAAGTTAGAACCGAAATTGAACTAACAGAACAGAAATTAACAAGTCAGAACCGAAATTAACAAGACAGAACCGAAATTGAACCAACAGAACAGAAATTGACACAACCGTCAATTTCGGTTCTAAATGGGACTGGGGCCGTGAAGACAGCGCTGACCGAGTGAAGCCCGGGGAAAACCACTTTACCGCCGTATGTATAATTCCAACATGGCCGCCAATGAGAGTGTGTTTCTTAGAAGTATCAGAGATGTTGTTGGAGAAGTGTTGAGAGATCTGCGGGCTTCGGTCGCTGAAAGAGCATTTTATCGCCTTGACTGGCTGCTAGATATTGTCAATAGGTACGCAGATTCGCTGAGTACGACTGTTGACCTAGATCAAGTCCACTTTCTCCTCCGAGAAGCTCGCGAGTGTCTGTGTCTGTTAGATTTTAACCCGGCTCTCTTTTTTTTTCTATCAAAAGCATTGTCTCGGATAATTTTCTCTATTCTTTTTAGAGTATTCAATCACCAAATTGTAGACAAAAAGAATTCAACTGAATTTGCTTTCTACGCTTTCATGTCTTAATTCATATTTCGCACTAACCCTGGGGTTATCTCAACCCAGCTGTGAACAACCCAGCCGTGGTGTTTATCCACATGGTACTCTGGGCACCAGATATCCCCCCCCCCCCCCCCCAATTTCGGATTAAAGAAATCTTGGTGAAAAAATGTGTCTCGCTTCCATTTGAGCTTCTGATGCTGTGAGTTGTTCATTTGGATTTTATTACAGGCTTCTGGAGCCAGGGTATATCCATTAACAAAATTTGAATACTTGCCCTACATTTGGGGACTTATTTTGATACAGTTCAACCTCTATGTAACAAAGGCCTGGCCAAGGGAGTGGCAAAATATGTTCCATAGAATGGGGTTATCAAAGTCCATATTCATACACTTCACCATTTCTAAGGCATTATCATTCATAGTACTGAGGACTTTGTTACCTTGAAGTTCATTAAACCAAGGATCATCTGTACTGTACTTATTTAGGATCAAAAGTTTCTTTGGTTTTGCATCGGAATTGAGATTCCGGGCAAAGCAAAGCAAAGAAAGTGTCGTTGGATGTGTGATTGACATCATCATCATCATCATTATTATTATGTACGGCAGGTGGAGAATTGTCATCCATGGCGGTATCGACGGATATTCCAGAATGATTGTCTACCTAAACGCGTCAACAAACAACCGTGCCAATACTGTCTTCAGGTTGTTTTACACAGCTGTACAAAGCTATGGGCTACCTTCAAGAGTAAGGTCGGATAAAGGCAGAGAAAATGTAGAAGTGGCTTTGTTTATGCTTTCACACCCCATGCGAGATCCTGACAGAGGAAGCCACATTGCTGGGCGGAGTGTCCACAATCAAAGAATAGAGAGGTTATGGAGGGATGTCTTTGTGGGTTGCACATATGTGTTTTATCATTTATTTTACCGCATGGAAAGTTCTGGTGTATTGGATCCAACAAACGAGCTTCATTTGTTTGCACTACATTTTGTATTTGTTCCAAGGATTAATGAAAACTTGAAGCTATTTTGGGAAGGACACAACAGAGGCCCATTAAGTTCTGAGCATAACTACTCCCCAGAACAGTTATGGATACGTGGAATGTTGTCCATTGCCAACAGTGTTGTTTAGGATCTTTGGCCCATTCAGGCCTTGTTGAATTTGATTGAGGGCCACATGTTACCATATTTAAGGTGTTTTAATGTGTAATGAAAAAAAATTCTTGTCTGTTATTGCTCTTTGAACAGATTAACAAAGTGTATGATCACATTGTCAAAGGTATACAGTTACTAATAGGAATGAGACAGTGGTGTCTTGTACATGTTCATTGTTATGAATTTTTAATAAGATAATCAAAGTACAAGAATTTTGTTGATTCTCATATTGACATTTCCTAGTCTTGACAGAAGTTATGTTGGCACATTGCTGCTTTCATTACTTCTTCAATTCTTACAATGTTAGATTTCTTTCATGTCATGGCCACTGACTTCTGTAAAGAAAAAAGTCAAAGATACATGTACATGTAGTTGCTAATGAAATGTTCCATGATGCATTGTTAGACAACTAAAGGCACAAGAGAAAAGTTTTTTCTTTAGGTTCAAAACACTAAAGAGTCATTCACTTGTATCTTAAAACATGTTGTGTTAGTGTTTTCAGCAGAAGCCAGAAGAAAGTACATCAGCTTTTTTCTTAAGCATTTATTGTTTTTTACTGTGAGAGGTGTTGTTGGGGTACTTCCATTGCAAGAAGATAAAGATTACAGTTTTCATAATCACCAGTTGTGTTGTGAATTCAAATGATTTGAATTTCCATTGTTCTGATAGTGCCTGGCAAAGTGTTATTCCAAGTTGTTGCTATGAATTCTTCCTTCAACATATTCAAGTACTTCCAGATATATGTCCACACCATGGTATAATGACTCCCGGGTTGGATCATAGTTTCTGTTTAGCACTTGCCAGTCACTATAATTAAGAGGACAGCCAGTTGGGGGAACTTCAACTGTGTTGTTTTCATTTGATAGGAGGGCACCATGCCTTTCCTCTGAAGGTGTTGGTCCTTCATAGTCTATTCCATAAGTGGCCTCGTCACTCTGCAGAAAAGGAAGCTCCATGGTTAAAAAAATATCATGTACACTTTCAACAGTTTTGTTGTCTACAGTATTAATTTAAACAACCAATTATTGTATTTTAAGACCTTATGTTTTAACCAAACACTATCGTCTTCCATAGCAGCCACTCAATTGTTATTTACTCTTACAACCTGATCAGTCTTGAAATGCTGGATCAAGCTTGTTCCTTCATCAAGGTATTATCTGCCAGATGAGTGCAATTCATGCAAAAAGCGGCATTGCAAATAAAGAACTCACACAAATGCATCGCAAATACACACCAGGACAGGGACATAACAAAACATATTGATCCTGGTATTCTGTAAAGCAACTAAAAATGAACAAAATCATAGCAGGATTTGGTCACAAAATAACAATTTAGTGACCTACAAGTGTAGCAATATTTCCAAAACAAATTGCAAACCTGACTGCTGAATTCAATGGCTGTCCTGCTCTCACTGTTGGCAATGGACAACATTCCACGTATCCATAACTGTTCTGGGGAGTAGTTATGCTCAGAACTTAATTGGCCTCTGTTGTGTCCTTCCCAAAATGCTTCAAGTTTTCATTAATCCTTGGAACAAATACAAAATGTAGTGCAAACAAATGAAGCTCGTTTGTTGGATCCAATACACCAGAACTTTCCATGCGGTAAAATAAATGATAAAACACATATGTGCAACCCACAAAGACATCCCTCCATAACCTCTCTATTCTTTGATTGTGGACACTCCGCCCAGCAATGTGGCTTCCTCTGTCAGGATCTCGCATGGGGTGTGAAAGCATAAACAAAGCCACTTCTACATTTTCTCTGCCTTTATCCGACCTTACTCTTGAAGGTAGCCCATAGCTTTGTACAGCTGTGTGAAACAACCTGAAGACAGTATTGGCACGGTTGTTTGTTGACGCGTTTAGGTAGACAATCATTCTGGAATATCCGTCGATACCGCCATGGATGACAATTCTCCACCTGCCGTACATAATAATAATGATGATGATGATGATGTCAATCACACATCCAACGACACTTTCTTTGCTTTGCTTTGCCCGGAATCTCAATTCCGATGCAAAACCAAAGAAACTTTTGATCCTAAATAAGTACAGTACAGATGATCCTTGGTTTAATGAACTTCAAGGTAACAAAGTCCTCAGTACTATGATCCTCAGTACTATGAATGATAATGCCTTAGAAATGGTGAAGTGTATGAATATGGACTTTGATAACCCCATTCTATGGAACATATTTTGCCACTCCCTTGGCCAGGCCTTTGTTACATAGAGGTTGAACTGTATCAAAATAAGTCCCCAAATGTAAGGCAAGTATTCAAATTTTGTTAATGGATATACCCTGGCTCCAGAAGCCTGTAATAAAATCCAAATGAACAACTCACTGCATCAGAAGCTCAAATGGAAGCGAGAGACATTTTTTCACCAAGATTTCTTTAATCCGAAATTGGGGGGCGGGGGGGGGGGATATCTGGTGCCCAGAGTACCATGTGGATAAACACCACGGCTGGGTTGTTCACAGCTGGGTTGAGATAACCCCAGGGTTAGTGCGAAATATGAATTAAGACATGAAAGCGTAGAAAGCAAATTCAGTTGAATTCTTTTTGTCTACAATTTGGTGATTGAATACTCTAAAAAGAATAGAGAAAATTATCCGAGACAATGCTTTTGATAGAAAAAAAAAGAGAGCCGGGTTAAAATCTAACAGACACAGACACTCGCGAGCTTCTCGGAGGAGAAAGTGGACTTGATCTAGGTCAACAGTCGTACTCAGCGAATCTGCGTACCTATTGACAATATCTAGCAGCCAGTCAAGGCGATAAAATGCTCTTTCAGCGACCGAAGCCCGCAGATCTCTCAACACTTCTCCAACAACATCTCTGATACTTCTAAGAAACACACTCTCATTGGCGGCCATGTTGGAATTATACATACGGCGGTAAAGTGGTTTTCCCCGGGCTTCACTCGGTCAGCGCTGTCTTCACGGCCCCAGTCCCATTTAGAACCGAAATTGACGGTTGTGTCAATTTCTGTTATGTTGGTTCAATTTCGGTTCTGTCTTGTTAATTTCGGTTCTGACTTGTTAATTTCTGTTCTGTTAGTTCAATTTCGGTTCTAACTTGGTAATTTCTGTTCTGTTAGTTCAATTTCGGTTCTGACTCGTTAATTTCGGTTCTGTTAGTTCAATTTCGGTTCTGTTGGTTCAATTTCGGTTCCGACTTCTCAATTTCTGTTCTGTTGGTCTAATTTCGGTTCTGATGATGGAACCGGAAATTGCAGGTTCGTCATAATGGAATTTGAAACTGAATATTGGCGGAGATCACCCCTCATATATAACTGTAACAATTTCACTTGCCGCCACGGCAATGAACGAAAACACAGAAAACAACTGTCGAACTGCCACAGGCAAACCAGGTTTCAGTGCAGTCATGCAAAGCATGTCACGTCACGTTATTCTGCCCCGCGCATTTGGGAAGGAGGGAAGACATTCTTCCACGCTGTGCGCTAAAACATTTATGAAATAAAATTAGCTTTCGACTGTTTCATTTTTTCCCTCGCTTGAGGGCAAAGGTGCTTCTTCCGCCGATTTAATCTTGGACTTGATGAGCAGGCGTTTTTCGGGGATTCGTAATTCCTCCCTCCCCACAAACGAAAAGTGTGAATTTTTTTTTTGACCTTTGATCTCAACAACGTTCCCCTCAATTTTCTGATTTCCCCTTCGCTTTATTTACAGACTGGTATAAATGACACATACCTTGGTCTCAGGTAAGGGAGGAAATATGGGAAAATATGACTCCCCTGAAAATGCCACCAAGGGAGGCTAAATGTTTGGTTGCCTCTTAGGCCAAATTCGCTTCAGGGATCCGGATCAGTCTTGTCAGTGGAACTTGTGGAAGGCAGAAGTGTAATAACCGGACCCAAGTGTAATAAAGGTCCATCCGTAATAACATTTGAACCCAAGTGTAATAAAGGTTTCATCTGTCACGACTGAGATAAAATGAGACATGTCCACAACAGCCTAAACATGGTTATCTTAACTTAAACAGCTGACATCACGGTTCATGTGACCAAACAGAACTAGAAAAAAAAGGAGCGAGAAAAAATACCATAGAATGTAGCAATGGCTCTCAGTTAAAGTTTGGCAAATTTTTGCTACGAAACTTGCTTTTAAAAAAAATTCATCGCTCCAGAACAAATAAATATGTCCCACTGGACTGATCTGTTGCTATTTTTTCTCCTCTGTCTTCTTGTCATTTTCACTATTTCAATCACGGCTGAATTTTATTGATAGGATTTCATGACTGTCAGAACTTTGCAAGAATAAGTTCCCGCAAATAAAAATTACCGCAAAAATATTTCCCGCAAGAATTTACTCCAGAGAAAATACTGTATTCTCTAACTTAAATTCTCTACACAAGAATACAGTACCAAGAAATCGTGTCTGTTCAATTACAACTGGTCTCTTTTTTTCAGAAACAAATACAGACGTACACTTAGTATTGCTTGAAAATATGTATTTCTATTGCACTTACTCAATAAAAACGAAAATATTATCAATGCTGGGTACTGGGTACTTTCTGAAATCGCAAAAATTAATCCCCAGCAAGAAAAACCAGTCTGTCCTAATCGCAAAAATTAGTTCCCGCAAAACACAAAAAATCGCCAATCCGCCAAAAATAAACTCCCGCAAAAATTTCGTTTCACACGGTATCCGTTGGAAAAATGATCGGTCGTTTGATCAACCAGGGCTAGGTCGTTATTTTTGGTTCCTTACTTGCGTCAGTTCAGGTTTATTGGACTACCTTTGTAATCACCAATTATGTTTATAATTATGTACTTTAGTTTTATATTCAATTTTGGTAACGACCCCACAGTATCAGCCCCCGACAAAGGTTTGTGTTGCAAACTGACTAATATCGGAAAAATGATATCATGTATATTCTTAATTTCGTTTGTACTGGCTTTCTTTTCTCTTTTCGCCGATCAGCTCCTTCGATTTTGTCCTTTCAACTTATCCAAATCTTTTTTTGAGATCCGGATGCGGCCACTAGTTCATTGGCTTCCGAAGAGCTCATTCCCTGTTGTTGGCTTTTAGCCGGGATGTTTCAACACAAGGAGCCGCTGAACCACAGGAAACCGAATGATTAGAAAGGCTCGCAAGAAATGTGTCTCTTGTTCCTCTAGGATACACATGATCAGGCACAATTTTCATGTGACATAAACAAAATTACACTGTTTTTCCTCCTACAAGTGAGCCTCTAATATAACTCGAAAAAAATTGATTTATACGATCCTATAGTTGTAAGGATTTTAGACTCAAACAAGTATCGGGTCTGATGGGAGGGTCCGGACCCCCCGGACCCTCCCCCTGGATCCACCACTGCTTTGGTGCCCTTTGATATCCTTTCTACAGCATTCGTTAATTCGAACACACCAATTGCTAGCTATAGATGCACGTTCTGAACTTGAAACACAATCATTATAAACAGCAGATAAAATAAAAGAAGTGCACAGCGCCCCTCGAGCAAAAACAGGGTAAAAAGTTATTCTTTTCTTAAACTAGTTACAAAAGATACAGTCCATAAATGTTTTAGCGCACAGCATGGAAGAATTTCTTCCCTCCTTCCCCAAAGGGCGGAGCAGAATTACGTGACGTGACATGCTTTGCATGACTGCACTGAAAGCTGGTTTGCCTGTGGCAGTTCGACAGTTGTGTTCGTTTTGCCTTGGCGGCAAGTGAAATTGTTACAGTTATAAGTTCAAATTCTTCATTCATCTCCTTCTGGAGGTCTTTCCAAGAAATCTTCTGAGAAGTTCTATGGACTCTTAAACTAACACAGTCTCAGGTGGGTATCGTTGGATTAAAAATTGTTAATTTGTTAAATCGCATTAATCGCTGCATAAAATTCAGAAAATGGAACAGATTTACTACTCGTGACTTTTGTTGTATTTTTTACCGCGTTGTGGACTTTTTGACACTTAATACTTTAACTCAGCTTTATTTCAAAAAATCTATACGCATTTCGGACCAATATTGTTTCGAGAAGTTACCGAATAATTAAAGGTTTGGCGCCTACCGTAATTCGCATTTGGTTGTGCTTCGGTCAGAGGTCACGTTTTTTCGCCCGTTTTTAGTGTAACATTTACATTTGCTTCGCTTTGTCAGGGCTCGTGATTTCATTCACCCAAAAATTTTATTTCGCTAATTTGAAGAAAAAAGAATGTTCTTTCAGACTAAACAAGCCTTTGTGTTCAAATCCATGTACCAATCCGCTTTTTTAGCTCGTGAAAAAGTGCTAAATTTTGACGGTTGATTAAGCGATTTTGAGTCAACAACTTTAAAAATTTCTTAAAAAGTCTCTTGTTGACCAAATCGCGAACTAATCAGTTAAAATTATAGAGAAAAGCTGAGTGAAAATATGAAGTGTCATTTTATTTTAGTAGCCAACTTTATTTTAAAATGTACGAGTTACTGAATATAACTCTAATTTCGCATGATTTTTGCCCATTTTAGGCCTGGGGAAGAAAAAAATTCGTTAAAAAAATATTATTCACTCGATCGTACTTAAACCAACGATTTTGTAACTAGGGCCCATAGGGCTTTATTGTGGCTGAGTTTGAGGCCAGGTCATTTTTTGACTATTTCCACGTCTAGTTGATATTTACGCGGAGCCGCTCTTTTAAAAGGAGCAACTTCTGAGCAGGTTTTAGAAAAATCGAGCAACTTCGGGCAACTTTTAAAGAATTTTGTGGCAACCTTTCAGAAAGTTTGGAGCAACTTGTGGCTGTGGCTAGTTGATACCTCAACATGAAAGAAAAAGGCTCATACGGCGTTTCAGTTGTAGAAGTGACTTTTTTATGACGCCATAACTAGACTACAAGGAAACTCTGGAAAAAGTAGGCTGATGGTTTCCATGAAAAAAAAATCATCATCATCATCATCATCATCATCATCATCAAATCGGCACGCTTTGGCATTCCTGCAAAAAAACAATCAGTTTTATCAATGAAAACTTTATTTTATGTAGAAAGGGAAAGAAAAAGAGAAACAATATATGTTACTTGGAACATGTTATACAAAACAGCTCTTCAAATGAAGTTTCCTGTTTATCTTTGTTAACACAAATAAGCACACGAAACGTTTCAAATAATCTTCCTTATATGTAATCTCGAAGACGTCAATTGTTACCAGTAGTAGCACCAAGTCGTGTTAACAGGACCAGGTAAAGGCCACCATAAGCTAACTATTTTTAAAATGTGGTGACTATCAACGGGAATGGCTGGGTGTGGCTGGGTAAGTAAGCTGCCTCTCAGGTTTGTATGGTGTCTCTTTCAAAAGGTTGGACAATGATATTTAAAGCTGTCAAAGGTGTAACAGTACCTCTTGTGGGTGACTTGTGGAATTCCAGTTCCTCGCAATCTGAGAATACTATGGCTGCACTGGACACGACCACAACTCATCATGCGCACTACAAGAATCGCATTGTACAGGAATGGGAGACATTTAATCCAGCACAGGTAATTAATTGGAAGGAAACAGACTGTTTAAAAAGACAACAGCAACAACAACAAAAACACGATCAATGCAAAAACAAACAAACAAACAAACAAAAATTTTTTTTACAAACCTCAAGTGCGCACCTTTTCTTCCGGTTCCATCAAGGATTCAAAGACCACCGATTTGCCAGTTCAAATTAGGTCAATTATGAAATTGGTACTATTTCAATTTATTTGACGCTCAAGGCCCAGTTTACGAGGAGTGGAGCTAAGTTTACCCTCTAGCCCTCCTACTGTACTTTAGAGTGGTCAAAAGATAATCCCCCTTCATAAAGAAAGGTCAACGCGCTTGTTAATAACGTAAAGAACCCAAATTGGTGGCCAACTGAGCAATGTTAATATTGGTCGTAAACGCACTTTTGCTAGACTGCAAGACAGCGCGTATCAATTGCGTAGGTCAAGAACGCCGGTGTAGTCAAGCGAGAGTCCTGGAGCGTGGGCGAAAACCGAATTTGAGACTGGGAAGAGATGCTCGAAATAGTGGCTTGTGAGGCTCGCGCGCTTGACACCTTGAAAAGCCAATTTCGAGAAAAAAGGCCCACAGTTTTGCTTGTGCATGTGTCTTTTCTACGGCTGTAACGTGGGTTCTTGCTTTCGAAATAAAAATGTGGTTATGGGAAGACTTCGGAGTGAAAACTGTTGACACTAAACCTGAACTTCCTTCGAGGCTAATCCTGCCTAGACCATTTACGCGCCAAAAATCCTGACCCTTCTTAAAGGGTTACCCTAGCAATTAGCAGGGTAACCCTCCCCCTAATGTAACCCTGCTTCTCAGGCATACTAAAATAGGAAACACAAAAGAGAAAGGATACTCTTATAGGAGAGTAACCCTCCTACCATGTATAACAGACCTCAATGTTTCTTTTCCATCACTTTAGGCCCGAGTTGTTCTGTACGAAAATGGAAATGAGGTCCTCTTTCTTAAGTTCAGTGCCAATGGCACCAACAGATTTAACTGGTTTTCTCAGGCAAACCTAATTTCTTCGCCTTGGAATGATCTTAAAAGAGCAACGAACCTCCAGCACTTTGATATCATTGGATCACACTCCAGATCTTTTGAAATTTCCGCTTCTTATGGAGGCTGCGATCATGATTTTGGTTGGCTTTCTATCACTGCGGCTGACTGCAGCTGGGAAACTCGGGTTGTCAAACCTGCTCCCCAGTATAGCAAGCAGACGTACAAGACAAATGCCAAGGACTATGGTAAGAAAATCAGAGGTGTTATAGGAAGCCAGTGGTTTCGCCACGTAGTAAGCTAGCCCCGTAAGAAATCGAGTTCGTACCATAGTGAATTAATACCCTGCGAGTTAGCCCTCTAATTTTTTTGACAAAACTTAACCTGGTTCAAAGAGTTTGAAAGGGTTAATTTTCATGAACGGAGGACTCAATTAAAACCTTCAAAAGGTCCTTTGAAGGCGCGCGGTTTTCAGTGTTTAGTAGCTCACTAATTGGAAGCTTCAGTCATGACCCTTGCTTCACGCTCACTGTACCCCGTATTACTGATAAAAAGAGGTAACTTGCTGCAAGTCTTGTCTCCCTCACAGCTGTTTAGACTCGCTGGAAAGCTAAACTTGGATGCAAGGCGAGAGAAGTACATCTTTTCGAAAGTGTAGTGCTCACGTTTCCGCCTTAATAACACCTCCCTATGTACAGTTTAGTTTATCCTTATTTACATTACTGTGCAAGAGTCTGGGGCCCAACTTATCAGTCAAATCTTAAACGTTTAATTACTTTTCAAAAATGGGTTATTAGAATAATTTCTAGGAGTACTTTTGATGTACATCATGGACCAATCTTATTTTTGTGAGTTTACGAATTCTAAATTATTTTATAGATATTATCAAACTTCAAATGGGTAAAGTTATGTATCTTTACAAAAACGGCATTCTTCCTGATAGTTTCAATGACTTGTTTTTATTTAACTGTGACGTACATTCATATACCACCAGAAGTAAGAATTCCTTCCGTCTACCCTACTGCAGGAAAAATGTAAAGAAATTTTCACTACATTTTCAAGGGCCTAAAATATTTTAAAATTCTTTTACCTTTGAAATTCAGTATGTCTCTAGTATTGCTGTGTTCATTTCTAAACTAAAGTCATTTTTCTTGGAAGCTTTCTACATAACCTAATTTTACTTCTCTTAATGCGCGCTTGTGTCTACTTTTTCGCTTCTTTCGTTGTTTTTGTTTTGCTTACTATTTTTCGTTATTTTTTCTCACTTTTTCTGTTCCTTTTTCGCACTTGGGCTTGCGCTTTTAGCCTTATCTATTTTTTGTCCTATTTAATGATTATTTTCTATGTTATAAAAATATTATATGTGTTTAGTTAAATTGTCTTGCCGATGGCAGTATATTAGATGGTCCTTTTCATAAGCCTTATTGGCTTCCGTATGTGGCAAAATTATAATAAAATAGATAAAATAAGTGCTTGCATGAGTGGTAAATTTGGAAAAATCTTACTCGTAGGCAGGGATGATCGATTGATCGCTAACTTTAACCTGCGTTAAATTTTAAAATTCTTGTTTATACAACCATTATAGGGCTATTTTGCTAATAGGAAAGGGAAAAATAGGAAGGGGCTAACTTGAAGGGGGCTAATTCACTGGGGGGCGAACTCAATGATATTCGTTTTATATATAACATCGCCCGAGTACTGGCCCTATCTAATTCCTCCAGAGAACTTAGGGCATTAAAATACTAGATGTGCACGGCCGTGAGTATATAAGATGACGTCTTAAGTTGTATTCGTTAAACTTGGGTTTCTCTCACCTGCTTTCGACAAGTGGTCCCAATAATGGAACAAAATGGTAGAGAACTTTGTGATATTTTGGAACTCAATGTAGAGAAATGAACTAGAAGTCGCGCCTTTCGAAAATTTACCCAAGTTATAAGAACTTAATTGGGCGGACGCAAAATATTAGGCTCTCAGGAAGCCAAGCTGAGGTATACGTTTACGGCTTCTCCGTGCTTTTCCGCGTACATCCCCAACTCGATATGTGCACGCCAAGTATGAACCAATTTTAACTACATAAAAGTTTAGAATGAAAATGGCTGAATAGGGTACATTTTGAGAGAACAGGGCACGTATGGCGCGTTTTCAGGGTCAAAAATAAGTGTGTAGTTACCACACAAACTGAGTTGCCAGATAAATGATTGTCTTAGATGATGATTGTTGGTTTGTGGCCTGTTTTGACGTGCTGTCTTGCGATGGAATCCTTTCATCCCGTCATGACTTTCAAATCCACACTTCTTACTCGAGTTGATTTGAGAATGGTTTACGTGCATGCATAATTACTTTAATTTGAAATCTTTTTGCATGCTTTCTATGGAACCAAATAAAGCAATTTCTTAAATACGATTTTTTAAACTCACCCGCTTTACTTTTGAAATCACTTTTTTGCATGCTTACTTGCGAAGGATTATTCGATGATCAATTTCGTAAATACGTTTTTTTTTTTAACCATCATTACTTTTGAAATCTGTTTGCATTCTTACTTAAGAATTACGTAGCAGTAGGATTATCTTATGTTAAAAACATATGAAACAATTTCTTAAATACAATTTTTTTCAAATCGTCATTACTTTTGAAATGCGTCTGCACGCTTACTTGCAAAATACGTGACAGGAGGATTATTTGATAAAAGAAACGAAGGATCCTTTTTTACATGGGGATTTCGACTCCATGGATATGTTTACCCGCGTCACTGTCGAAAACGCGCTATTGTGCTTCACTGCACCCAACACGAAACGCGACTCAGTGACTCCCAAAATGACTTTTGAATTCGCTTTCGCTGCACAACAGAATGACTTGCGAACTTTCAACCAGGCGTTTCTACTCAGAAAGGCCCGAAAAGAGTCTGGAAACTCCTCCCCAGTGTCTCCGGGTCATCGATCAAAAATGGACGCTCGTCGTTGAGTTGATCGACCTTGATCGTTTTTCTAAGAAATGAGCTTGACACCTGAGCAATCGCATTTCTTGCAAAACCTTCGTCTACACCTAATAGATCTTTCGAGAAGATTGGAACAGGATGTTAATGAAACTGTTGCTGACTATGAGTTGTTTCGGTTGCAACTAACTTCGAATCAGGCGTTATACATGTAGTCGTACATGAATTATTTAACGAGAAACACATGCGAGGGGTGCATGGTCTCATCATTGTGCCATTTTATGATATTCTGACTGTACAAACTTGCGAGTACGTAGCTCAGTTTTGCGAATGGATCCCAATTTATTGAGGGAATGTGCCCAGCGTCTACAGGGGCGGATCTAGGGGGAGGGTGCCGGCGGTGCACATTCCCCCTGAGATGACCTGCGGTTTTCTAATACAACTGGTATTCTGCAAAAAAAAAAAAATAAAATAATTGTGTGGTTTATTGGTGTTGAAGTAGAGCAAGAGACGAGTGCACCCCCTCCTAAAAAAAATCCTGGATCCGCCCCTGGTCTAATTGAAACAGCCGATTTTATCCCGGGTTCAGGAGTTAATGGCGGATCCGTTGCATCATCAAGCGCACCATCGAGCACATCCAACACACGTCCGCGAACTGAAGACAACACCTCCACATCGAGCGGGTCTTGTGGTTCACATTGTGCCGTTCCTAATACCGCTCCCTCTGTTTCAAAACTGGGCCTTAACAGGTAAAAAATGACCCTGAAGTAAATGACAAGTATATGTTGCGATTCAGTTTTATCCTTCATTTAAATTTTATTTCCCACTGTTTTCAATGTTATTATAATACATTATGATACTCAAGTACTAATTATCAGGAGAAAATGTTTCAATCACAACATATTCATGTACTTCAAGAAAATTGCAGGGAATTGATATATAAGAAAAACCTTGTTTCTGTTAAAAGTTAAGATTCAATACTAAAAAAGTTAGCATGTGTAACAGGGGTTATTGAGCTAAGCAAGCCGCTTTTTTGCAGCATGCTGATGGTGAGAAGTCGATGTGAAGTGCAAGGCCTTCATGTGAACCACAACCTCAGTAGCACGTGTTAAGCAGGCTAACTAAAGGAAGCGATCATTGTTTTTATAACTTCCTTTTTAACAAGGAGATTATGTGTTTTGTGGGAGTAGAGATATGAAGGCAATGGTATCTTTCTGTTAAAGGTGCCTTTTATCATTTTGTTATATGATTCCAGTGGGAATTGAAGTTTGCAGCCAGTACGTACAGTAACATTTTATTAGTCCCATTACCAGCCTGTAAAGCAATAAAGAACGAACCAACCCTACCAAGGACTTTTGAGTTTGGACCTCTTGCTTGTTACTTAAAAGCCTCCCTGGTTCTAATTTGACCCAGAGTTAAGCTGCTGACACGTGGTTTAATAAGAAACAGTGAGTTTTGTTTCCCTGAGACCTTCAACACCGGCCAATCATTAAGTGTTTTGTCATAACCCCCAACTGAAAATATAATAATCTACAAATGGGTATGATGTGTATGAGATCAAAAATAGATAATACAGAGCTGCAACAATAATTCATCAAAGTGTATGAAGTGGGAGAAAATGTAAAAATTGATTGAATAGCCCTTATACATTTCTAGAAACTTCACAATTTAAAAAAGTAACTGACACAATAGTTGGTGATTTAAGCAATCTGATTGGTTCGCTATCTCGGACTATTCAACAATATTCACCTCCTAGCGAGTGGATAATGTGTGAGCTCGGTTTTTTCCCCATTTTCTTAGAGAAAGATCTTTTAAAAGTCGACAAAATCCTAGGGTTGACTTTTTTTCAGGCAAGAAGACTTCGAAGGATTCAAAACGGCGTTTTTCCATTTACTGTTGTTGAGTTTTGTGGTCGATGGATTGTTTACAACTCCCGTTTATTCGCCTCGAAGAGGCCTTTTCGTGAACTAAGCGTTTTCCAACAAGAAAAATTTGGCCCAAAAACGAAGTTCACTTATGACAAACAAATTTGAAAGCAAATGTTTGCAGAAATTCTACGTTTCAGGTAAACACGAGAAAGAATGCTACATGAAGACGACGTCTTACCTCGAGGAACCGAATCGCCGTTTTTGTCAGCACTTCATGCGAAGAACGACACAACAAACCTTTTCGGCTATAAACTTGGCAAGTCAACAGAAAACAACAAAGCTCTACTTTTCTTCTCAGGAAAGGAAACAATTCAAACTTTAGCGGTTCCATTTAAGTCATTACGCTGTTGTTTGCGAAATGATAAGCTTGTGAATTGCCATGTTTGAAAATTCTACAAAGATCTATTTTTAAACTGTCGCGTGTCTAGCTGACCTGATCTGTCA